AAGTATCGATAGTAAGAAAGCAAGAAATCATCAAGTCTAATAGGCTCCCGTGTCTTACATATTTTGTATTTGTTCACTCTATTATCTATTATCTTACTATTATTATTAATCATCATATAATATTTAATTGCAGGTACAATTTCAACTATAATTTAAACATATATATATATATCCACATATATACGCAAGTATAAAATTCTCAAAAAGTGGGTGCTTATTAGCCTTGTTGCATTACTGCTGTCACGAGAGGCCAGAAAGCATTTTCAGGCCGTATTTCGGCCGTAAAGCGATACGCTAGAGGAACAAGGATAGCACGCGATTGTCGCTCCTTGTCTGATATTATCTCCCAACAATCGCATCCGTGTGCTCAACGTGTCGGTGTGTGCCTTCACGGACGCTACACACATACGCGATGAAAGAGAGACAAAGACAGCGCATCATCTCTCTTTGTCAAACGATCAGTGTACTACCAGCATCGACAATATCGAAAAGTGGATGTAGCACGGACATGAACCAAAATCGAAAAGTGGATGTAGCATGGACATGAACCAATCGGCTGTTTTATCGGCTCCGAAAGTGGATGTGGCCATATAGTTCCAGGCGGCGTAAAATGGATGTACGTGACGCTAGTGTACGACCTAGAAAAAGCGTTACACGAAAAACGGCAGCGTGGCGACTCTCATTCTTCTCTCTGATCATGTGCATCATGCATGAAACGGAACGCAGCCAAAGTTCGAACAGCTGTTGACATTGGGTCTGTTCATAGACATAGTATATCTAGACCGAGCGTTTGCTTTTATTTAAGGAGTGGGGGCCGATGCCCACGTAGAAAAGGACATACTCTGTTTCGTGCCCCTTGCGTTCTCTGTCGCTCGCATGTAGCATGACGAAAGAGAGCGCTATGCTCTGTGCGAGCGAGAGAGAACGCAAGGGGCACGAAACAGAGTATGTCCTTTTCTACGTGGGCATCGGCCCCCACTCCTCAACACTCGGTCTAGATATACTATGTCTATGATCGAAGTAAACTACTGTGCGGCGCGGAGTAGTGACAGGTCATTAACTATGGCGAACATAGAAGGGAAAGCGATAGATCGAGTGAATTCAGTAATAGGACAAGGCGTAGAAGCGCGCGAAAAAGATCGATCGGTTGAAAGCGAACAAACCGGTGCGGAAAATTATAAAAGAACGCGGCAGAGAAATATAAAAAACAGGAAAAGAAAATTAGAAGCATTAGTTAATACGACATACATATTGCAGCAACAATTGATAGACTTCATGCATGATACATATAAGGACGAGCGCGAACGAACAAACATGTTACGCGATAGGCTAATTAGGCTAAGAAGAAGACAAAAAATTGTAATCCAGCGGCGAAAGCGGAAAAAAGAGACAGCGACGAACAAGGAAGACACCCGACAGAGGAAGGAGGCAGCCAATCCGGACAACTCGGAAGGAGCCGGAAAAAGCGAACGAACGGAGCAGACGAGAGATACCCAGACAAAACCAAGAATAACGCAACACTTGGTGGGAAAATTTATAGATCCAGGCGGAGGAGCGATCGAGACGAATCTGCTGGAGAACAAAACCAAACGGGACCAGCAGCAGACCTTGGACCTCGAAAACGAAAAATGGTTCGGGAGTACCAGCAGAAGGAAAACGTGGTGCCCAATCAACAAAGGGGGGACCATGACGGAAGCCCGGTGGGAAGGATTGCGAGGCATAAAAATCACAGTATGCGATCGGAGAATCACTCACCGGTGAGAAAGAAAAGTAGGGCGATGAGAATCGTATCCAGCGAAGATGAGGCCGACAACGAAAACTAGATCACATCAGATCGCATCAACCACAGCCCGCTTTTAGGGAAAGTTCACTCGAAATACGTGCCGAATTTCGAGAAAACTTTAGAAGGGTGCATGCGATCGACCGGATCGGTCCCCGTTGACGAGATACGCGGGGGTGCCTGGAAAAGCAAGGAGGACAGCATAGGACGTCATCCAAGGGAATGCGGAAGCAGCCCGGAGAGGAAGGACGACCTGAGGGAAGATTTGGAGCATCGACGGAGGGCCGTCTGAGTCCAGAGCAGCATTAGAATATAAGAGTAGCAATAAGAAGCGCGAATTAATAGAAATAGTTCATTAAATATATTAATAGTTATTATTACAAGGCAATAGAAGCCGGATAACAGTAAATTGATTTTAGTTAATTATCATTATAACGCGATAGAAGCCGCAGTGCGGTAAATTGATTTGAATCAATGATTTTAAGAGTCTAAAGATTTTCTGTTGATAGAGAGTAGTTAATCTATCCGAATAGGTGGCTGGAGAATGAGATGTTTATTTAGTTGCGTTATTATTTGTCTTGTCAATTGTGATAATCGATTTGAATACCTGAAACAATTAAGAAGTCATTATATTAAATATATACGCGTTAAGAAATTATTATATTTAAACTGTTCATTAAGTATAGGGATTTATAACTAGATTAAGATGTACATACATATGATGTTATTATTATCATTACTTACCTGCGCAGAGTCACCTGTAAATACTTACATGTAGCGGAGTTGATCCGTAGGAGTCCAAGGATACCTGTAAAAGAATGAATTGTTAAGAGAATGTATGGATGCATCTGGGACACCCGGTATGTAGAAAGCATGACGCGCGAAGCGGTGCGACGAGCGGCGCGAACGGAGGCGCGCAACCGAAGTGCGCATGTAGGGAGTGAAGCGATGTGCGAGATCCGGAAGCGAGACTCGGGGTCAGTCGGCGCGAGGCGATAGTTGAGCAAACACGTTATTCCGTTGTACAGTTAAGACCCGCGAACGGCGCGTGATCCAAAATTAAAGTAGAAGATTGTAATAAAGAGTTTGATTCTGAATAATTGTTCGAATACATAGTCAAGCCCAAGGTGGCACAGTTTGTGATAAAATACACAGTCAATAATTAATAATAAATACGTTTATTTGATAATTCAAATCAGTGATTTTTCATTTCGATTCCGGGACCCGAGGTGTATTCTTCCACAGGATCTTCAGGCTTAGCAGCGCTCGGCGTTCCAATTCGAGAAAGATTTCCTTCGACGAGGTGATTATTCCGGCGAGAGGTGGTCATAACCAGGGAGTCTCGATATTCTCGGCCAACCCAGATAGTATAGCGCCCGTCGAAGCCTATTCCTTGCTGTTTGGAGGGTAAAAACAGCTGGCGACCGTTTGAAGGACATAAAGTTCCAATTTAATACAAAGTAAAGTAAGTAAGAAGCCGGCACGTCCGGTCACAACCTAACCTAACCTGTTTGCACATAAACTCAAAGTGCCCCAACTGGTCCTAGCTAATACTGCCTCCGTAATCAATAATCCCATCCTAGGCCACCCTCTTCTTTCCCTTACCACCCTTCCCCCCTGTGGCTCCTGCCCTTCCCAACCTCCCTCCATAATCCCCCCAACATGTTCGTGTTCATGTATGTATGTATATGATTGTGTACATATAGATGTGTGTGTGTATGTGTATGTATGTTTATGTATGCGTGTGTATGTATATGTATGTGTATTCTTAACTGTGTGAGATTAAAATTAATTATTAATTACTTAATTTTTGTTTAAATTAACTCTAAGTATAGACTTAATATAATCAAGCCCACCTTGAGTTTCTGAACGTAAATATACCCTGTGCTTCTATATATATAAGAACCCCCCTTCCCCCCTTCCCCCCTTCCCATATTAACGGCCAAGAACTCCTTGATGTTATACTGATACAACACCAGAGTTCCGCCGAGGAAGACCCAGGCGAGGATCTGCATCGATGTCACCCCGTTAGGTGATCTTCCAAATGGACGTGCATGAGTACAAGTACCACCCGTTACCATGACGAATAAAGATTGGTGGAAATTGACCATGGACGTCAATACCCGAAAACACACACATACAAATGGACGTACATAGGTACCACCGAAACACCTGTTACCGTGTCGGATAAAGAATGATGGAAGTTGACCATGGACATCAACACTCGAAACACACACACGCGAGACGATCGTAGAAGTGGATGAGTAGAATGAAATGAAATGAATAGATGAATGAATGAA